GAACTTGTGTTGGAACTAGAGAAAAAAATAGAAGACTCTTCTAAGACGTGTGAAAAGAAATCAGAGTAAGTGGAATTAAAATTGTAATAATGTGAAGGAAAATGTCTGTAATGCCATTCTCCTAAATAAGAAATAATCTCCAGTCTTGTTCTGCTTTTTTGAGAAAGTATTCTTACTTATAAATAACAATAAATTTTCAGCTTCTAAAATAAGCCTTCTTGACTCCAGATTCTAATTAATTAGAAAACTGAGCAGCTCTATTAATTTAATTTTGTTGTCAGATTGATGGTAGCTCAATAACTGAACTTTTTTTAGCATTGTAACTTCAGCCCAAATGAAGAAAAAGAGTCAATTCAGATTGTCTCTTTGTTTGACATAGTTTGTTGTATACATGTGATTTTGTGGAAGACTTTTTCAGTTATGTGGAAGCTGTGTAATCTTTCTTACACAGTAATGTTTAGAAGTTGTCAAGTTAAGTTCATTCTTCATGGCATTTGCATTAGAATAGTGAATATAGAGCCAATGCCCTGTGGTACTGCTCAATAAATAATGAAGGTGAGATTTTAATGGTTGTTTTATGTGTCATAAATAAAACATTTATTATAATGATACTTTTAGGGCAGGGTCTTTAACCTTGATTTCATACTCACATCCCAATCTTAAGTGAAGTTACTGTAACAGGTAAAACCTTTATTTTTGTGGTGATGTCTCCCTAGTTCTTTTTGTGATCAGTTGTAGTCTTACTAAGCACTTGGTCATAAATACTGATTTACAGTAACAGGAAATTGTAATGCAATATCTCAGGTGATCTTCATTTGCTGTAGACACATTCTTAGCTCTTGGAAAGCATTTTATCAGTTGGTACTGCCAAATGCATTTCAGTCACATTTAAAACTTTACGTAAGTGTACATGCTGACTAGAGAGATTTTCTTTCACTGACAAGGGACACATACAACACGTTTTTCATTTATTCAGTTCTTGACCTACCTTTCTTTCTTACGGGATAGACGGTTTGAACTGGATGGATTTTGTTCTCCTTTACTGTAGGAATGCTTCTTCATTGCTTTGCTATCAGTTACATCTCTCTGAACGTAATTCGAACTCTCCCTCTGTTTCTTGGTGTGTGCAGACTCCTTTGAATAATCTGTAGCAGATGTCTATGTTGTTGAGGAGATTATTTCAGTCCAGATAGTGCCTGTCTTGAGTCTGTGTTATTGTTGAGCCTCAGGTTTCCCCTGAAACTTCTTTCTGACTTCTTTCTGACTAATTTTCATTACTGCTAATCCGAACAATTTATTGATTTCTCAGTGGCAGTCTGCACTAGGTGTTGTTTCTCTGTATCTAATTACAGCAGCACAGTGAATTGAGTTTTTCACCTGTTGTGCTTTTCATTAAGGCACGTGTTGAAGTGCATCTTGAAGTGCATCACTTTCTCACTTGCTGCCCTCTTTTGATCTTGCAAGGATTCACTCTTAAAAGACACAGGCAGAGAGTTTTGCACACATCCTGGGATATGACTTTCTGTCTTTTGCCACTAGTGATGTCTCTCTTATTACTTCGTAACTTGTTTGAGTAACCACCTAGCGCAGGATCAGTTTCTGAAGGAGTAATCTTGCCATCCATGACCTTTGGCTTGTAGTGCAATCAGCATATATCTGCCTACACAGTGTTTAGTGTCTGTATGTGTAAGTTATGACAGAGCAACTTCTTCAACAGACAGGACTGTGTCCCATTCTTTGTCAGATGGAGCTGGAACTGTGGATATACAGAATTATGAGGCTTGCTTTCGATTTTTTTCAGGATTTTCCAGTGGTCTTTTGGGTGGTGTCAACTGAACTGCTTGAACCTTGTTCATGAGTACAACAAACAACTTCATTTCTGAAGTAGGAATAATGGACTTGGTAATCAGGAATAATTTATAAATTTCTTTTTTTTCTCCAAATTAAGAGCATACAGAATGACTGAATACTTTAATTTTTCTTTAGTGTCTTTGTTCTTGATAGGCCTGGTGGCTCAACTTCCCATCTGCTCTTTCATACTATGAGAATTCTGTGTTTCTTTCTAGACAAAGCTTCTGGGCTCAAGTGGAATGATCTGAGTGTGTTAGTGTTGTAGCATAGATGATTCATGCTGTTGGACATGTTTGGTTTTTGGCAATTATTGAGGTTAATAGCCATCTAGCTTCCAGGTGGATGTCCTAAATGGTTTACTTGTCCTCTGCTAATGTTTCATTGTCTGTTGTAGAGTACCTATTGAAGTTAAGTGTGCGTGTTCTCTCATACCTTTATGTGAAGATCTGTTTTATGGCCACCTTCATTTAATTGATCTTCTGCATATTCATTATTAGGAAATCAGCTTTCTGTTATTTCATTGGTGTTGTCTCATGCTTCTAAGGCTGAGTTTGTACCTGATAGTCTCAGTGCCAGCTATGTGTTTCTCTTATTCACATGGGTCACTTCTGGGAGAACTGAATGGTCTGGGGCTATTTTTTTTTAATCTACGCAGAATGGTTCTCTAGTGGCCTTCAAGGAAGGTGAAAACCTTGTTGACTGTGGCACAGGAGACAATTAAGAGCCAAGAACAATTTTTTTATGTGCAGCTGCAAGGCCACTTACAGGTTTTTTCTTCCAGATCTGTTTCATGTACTGTTTTTCTCAGGAAGCTTCTAGAGCTGATAGAGCCATTCATGATGCAACTATTGTTTGAGAAATGAGAATCTTTGGTCTTCTCTGAGGCTTTTTTTAATAGGGCAACGGTTTGAAGTCTATCAGTGTAAGAAAGGAGGTATAAAATATTTTTAAAAAAAAGTATTAGTAAATAGACTGAAAACGAGAAAGTGGACAGAAAACATAACTGTAACTAAATATTAATCTGAAATTCTGACTTGGAAGAGAACTAACTGATAAGATGAAGTGACACAGTAGTAAATCCATACAGCGTTCTGCATTGCACTTCTGTAATGATGTTTTAGTAAGTCCAAATGAGTCACAGAATGGTTGAGGTTAGAAGATTGCTGTGCAGGTCTAACCTCCAGAGGTTAATCAAAATGTAAATTTATACAAACAATAATGAAAATGTATAGTAGTTGAGGGCAGCTGTTTCTCTGCATTTGGAGTAAGGTCAAAGGTAACAAGTGGGAATGTGAAAATACTCTTGTGTTCTCTTGTATGTTAATGGTAAAATACTGTGTAATAGTGCTATAAGAGAGACCACAAGTAGATTATGGGATATGATTTCAATAGCTGCTGGAAAACAGAGAAATATGCAGAGCAGAGTGAAAATCACTCATAGAAGATAAGAAAAAAACACTTTTTTTTTTTTTTTTAAGCTTTCATAAAATAAAAAATATACCTTAAATTATGTGCATTTTAAAGTTAATTTTCTTTTCAGTATTGTTCTCTTGCTGAGCCAAAAGCAAGCACTGGAAGAACTTAAGCAAACTGTTCAGCAATTAAGATGCTCTGAGGCAAAATTTGCAGCACAGAAAGAACTACTGGAACAAAAAGTGCAAGAGAATGATGGGAAAGAACCACCACCTGTAGTGAATTATGAAGAAGATGCCAGATCAGTCACTTCTATGGTAAGCTTTACTGAATTATACAGTCTTACTATCATATATTGTTCCTTAGATCAGCAATTCATGACACATAAATGGATGACTGGAGTGAATTAACTTCTCTTTACATTTTCCGAAACTGACTAGTTGGAAAAACAATTCAGTTGTGTGGTTCTATTTATTTATTTATCGGTTTATTTATTTATTTATTTATTTTTAAGTTGCAATAATTTACATTACTCTTCGTATATCTGCAGACTTAATTTGGCCTCCTGCACCCTAGAGACTTAACTTCTCATTACATTGTTTTATAATTAAAAGTGTAAATCTTTAAATAGATTTAATAAACATGAGTATGAGTTATTGACAATTTTGTTGGCTTTGTTGCAGCAATATGTTCACAGTTGTAGACAGAAAACTAACAGATAAAAGCTGTTGGAATACTGCATACATTATGTCACTGAGAAATTAACTTCACGTACTGTAATCATTCCTTTTAACTCTTACTTGCTAACACCTGATTCCTTGCAGCTTATTTTTAAATGGCCTCTTAATTTTAGATGGCTCTTTATAATAAAAATAAACTTATGTTAATTTTTAAGATTCTGTGTAATCTTAAAACGTACTTGTCTACTATTTTGGATTTCCCTTTCTTAATTATATGCAGTTGTGTTGAGATAGTAATCATAGAATCATAGAATGGCTTGGGTTGGAAGGGACGCCAAGGATCATAGATTTCCAACTCCCCTGCCAGAGGTAGGGCTACCAAACTCCAGATTTGGTAACTGGACCAGGTTGCCCAGGGTTCCATCTAACCTGGTCTTCAACACCTCCAGGGATGGGGCATCCACAGCCTCACTGGGCACCTTCACCTCTGTGAAGAACTTCCCCCTGATGTTTAGTCTATGCCTTCCCTCCTTGACCTTAAAATCATTCCCCCTTGTCGTATTTCTGTCTAGCCTTGTAAAAAGTTTATTCCCCTCCGCTGGATTATAAACTCCAGGTGAGGCCTCACAAGCATTGAGGGCAGGATCACCTGCCACAGTCTGCTGGGGCTGGCTCTTCTTTTGGTGCAGCTCAGGATAGAATTGGATTGGGCTGCAAGCACTCATTGGCAGCTCATGTTGACTCTTTCATCAGCTGACATTTGCAAATCCTTCTCCTGAGAGCTTCTCTCAAGCTGTTTTTTTCCCAACCTGCATGTGCTTGGGATTGCCTCAACCAAAATGCAGGACCTTTCACGTGGCCTTGTTGTACTTCATGAGGTTAGCATGCACCCACGTCTCAAGCCTGTCTAGATCCCTCTGGATAGCATCTCTTCCCTCTAGTATGTGAGTTGTACTTCTCAGCTTGTTGTTGTCTGCAAATTTGCTGGAGGTATGCTTGATCCCACTGTCCACGTCACCTACACAGATGTTAAATAACACTGGTCCTTGCACCGGTCCATGAGGAATGCCATTCATCACTGCTGTTGACCACTAACACTCTGAGTGCAGCCATCCAGCCAGTTCCTTATCCAGCGAGTGGTCCGTCCATCAAATCCATTTTTCTCCAGTTTGGTGACCAGGATGTCATGTGGAACGGTGTCGTGCACTTTGCAAAAGTCTGGGTAGATGACGCCAATTATTTATCCACTGATGCTGTAACTCCATTGTAGAATGCCACCAGGATGTCAGGCTTGATTTGCCCCTGTTGAAGCCATGTTGGTTACCACCAATCACCTCACCTTTATTTTCCATGTGCCTTAGTAGGGCTTTCAGGAGGATCCACTCCATGATCTTGCTAGGCACAGAGATTAGACTGACTGGCCTGTAGTTCCCTGGATCTTCTTTTTTTCCTCTTCTTGAAAATGGGGGTTATGTTTCCCCTTTTAGGCTGCCATGACCTTTCAAATCTGATGGATAGTGGCTTGGCAACTTTATCTGCCAGTTCCCTCAGAACCCATGGATGAATCTCATCAGGTTCCATGGTCTTGTACACCTTCAGGTTCTTTAAATGGCCTCAAACCTGATCTTCATTTACAGTAGGCAGATTTTCCTTGTCCAGGTTCATACCTTTACTTTCTGTAACTTGAGTGGTGCAGCTAGAACACTTGGTAGTGAAGTCTGAGGCAAGGAAGTATTGGGCACCTCAGCTTTCTCTGTATCCCTTGTGTCCAGTTCTCCAGTTTCCTTCTGGGCCCATGTCTTCTTTGGCCTTCCTGCTTCCCCTCCCTAAGGCTTTCTTTTTGTGCTTAATTAAGTTCACAATCTTCTCACTGATCCATGGAGGCCTCCTGGTGTTCTTGCCTGCTGTCTTTTTTTCTTGGGATGCACTGCTTCTGGGCTTGGAGGAGATGGTCCTTGAACACTGACTGGTTTTTTTGGGCCCCTCTTCCCTCCAGGGCTTTAGCCTGCGTCACCCTGCCAAGCAGTTCCCTGAAGAGTTTGAAGTCTGCTGTCTTGAAGTCTGTGTAATCTAAATGTAGAGTGATACTACATTTGATTGTACTTATTTGCTCTTCTTGAAAAATTTGTTGTAAATGTGTGATTTGAAAATTGTTTTCCTAGTAATGACTAATTTTTTGTTTGGTTTATGTTGTGAGTGCATGTTGAGGTTTTTGTACGTTTGGGGTTATTTTAAGTTTAAAATTGCATACTGCTTTATATAAAGCATTTATTTGTTGCCACATAAATGGAGCCAGTATCAAAAGGGAGTAGTTTTCAAATTGTTTTGTTTTTCATCTCTTAGAATGAGTAATAGTATTGTATGACTTTCACAAGTAGCCTGGCTCTGAAACACTGTTTTATGTGATTTTGTAGATAGAGTTAGGTAACCTGTATTTTGTTTTGAAACTTCCTATGTTTCTGATTCATCTCTACTGTCTACGGGAAGGAGACAAATAATGTGAAATAGATTGTTATTTCTAGTAAAGCAGCTGTATTTATGCCAAAATGATGTATCAAAATGAAGTATCAAAATTTTTAAAGATTATGTCACTGTCACAAAAGTTAACTGGAAGCTTGTGCTAGATTATCAGTGTTTAGTCATTGAATGCATTGTCTGTCACTTGTCTTAGTGTACGTATATTTCACTTGCTATTTTACGCATGTGACAATAGTCTACAATTAAAACAGAAAATAACAAGAAAACTCTAGTATTATTTAGTCTTCTGATTAGAAACAGAAGTATTGACAATAATTGGAGCTTTGCAGTGCAAGTATAACTTACTGAAATGTGCAGCAGTGGTTTGCATTTCATTTAAGGTGGTTACATTGAGAAAATCAGTGTTGACTAGAAAATTGGTATGCCACAGTAATGTATGTCTTCCCGTATCCATATATGGTAAGAAAGAAAGAGTTACTGTGACAGTACAGAACAGTATTCTAGAGGTGTTTGGGTTTTTTTTTTTTTTTTTTTTTTTTTTTTTTTTTTTTTCCCTGAGAACTACCTGTCTTTTAAGTAGAATACAGCAATTATGCTATTTCAGCGTAATTGTGGTTCATGTAGTCACTGTCCCTGGAGATGTTCAAGATACGTTTAGATGTTGTAAGGTACATGGTGAAATGGGACATATTGCTAGCAGGTGGATGGTTGGACAAGATAGTCTTGGAGGTCTTTTCCAAGCTTTCTGATTCTATGATTTTGCATTATGCTGTAACCATTGGTAAAACTAAGACTTGGTACTCTGGCTCTGTAATCTGGAAAAACTTGTCAGCAGGTGGAGCTCAAGCTTTTAAGCCAAAACACCGGTTATGACTGAATAGTCATCATTTTTCATCATTGTTTAAAAAAGTTTCACCATCTATGTTTAAAAAAATTAGATGAGACATAGAAATGTATGTTCTCTTTTTCTAACATTGAACAGTCTGAAGTGGTGCTTTGTTTTTTTGTTTTCTGTTATTTTTCCTGTTGTTTTTTAAAGATGGTAAAATATAACAGTGATGTAGGAAAACCCAACCCATGTTCTTCGGTAGCATGTAAGCTAATCAAAAAGCCTGCACAGCTTTGCTGTTTAAGGAGCATCTGTGCAAAGTTGCTACACATTTTGCGTGTGCTCATTAAAGGATTTCTGGTTGAATTCGGTTGTCAGTGTGGGAGACACCTGCACTATCAATGAATTATCAGTGCATCATTGTAGGACAGTGTTGTCCTTTGCACTGTGTGTAGTAGAGTAAGTAAGAGTAGACATGTATTAGCATGAGATTTAACACTTCTGAATTCCTATTATATCTGTTGTAGCTGAGGTATGTATCCAAAAGGAAAAGAAAATATAAAATTTCACAGCATTTATGATTAGTTTTACTGTTTAAAAGGCTTCAGAGATTCTGGTCTCGGTGATTGCTTTAAAAGTTAGATATGCTAGCTTCTGGTGAAAATTATTTGTGACACATATTAAAACAAACAAACAAAGACACAGAAGAAAGAGCACTGTATTCCAGTCGCTGTTTTCCAGATTTTGTGAGTCCGTGCTCCTTTTAACAGTGTGATCAACACTGAGAATTTGAGACAAGTATTTTTAGGATTCTCACTTGTACAATCAATAGGTGTACAGAGATTAGTCCAAGTAGGCTTATCACAGTAGAAAGATAATAAATGAAAAATGCTCACTGGTGTTGTAGATTTGTAACAAATTCCATGAGGAGCAAATCTCCAGAAAGAGATCCTTCCTCAGTGGCAGTCAGCCCTTAAATGGGATCTAGGAGAGGTGGAGACAGGCTCTACCCCTTCCAGTAGCACAGGTGAATTGCCTTCACCTGTGCTCCCGCAGCTGAATCACTGCTTACCTCAGGTGGTCAGTCAGGCCGTGATCAACAGTTCCCATACATCACTAAAATTGAAATCAGCAAGTTTTAATCAGTTTATGAGTTCTGAATTTTTCTAAGTCAACTATGTAGATATGTGTAGGAACTGTTGAATTCATGGCCTGAACCACTGATTGAGCACCTGGGGAAAGGACCCAGTCAGCCCTGGGTGCACAGGTGAAGGCAATTCAGCTGTGTGACTCAAAGGGGTGGAGTCTGACTCCTTCTCAGACCTCATTT